CAGATTTATCTTTCATTAAATAAACAAAATAATCTCCACTTGGTGACCATTTCGGAATATACGATGCTAATAATTGGTTAGTAATTAATTGTTTTCGTCGTCCACTAGTTTCATATAACCATAAACTTTGTTCGTAAGAATTTGAATCCCATGCTGGACGTTCACTAGCTACTAATAAATATCGACCATTCGGAGAAAGATTTATTGACTGAAAATGAGTCACATTGAAAAATTCATCGATTGTTAATTTTGAATGTGCTTCAATCGATGAAAAACACATCAGTGTTAAAATCAGTAACAGAAAAAATCGCATTGTTTTGTATTGGTATTGATGATTTTAAATGAAAGAAACTCAAAATTAATGATAGGAATTAATACTCTGGTTTGTATTTGATTTCTTTTGTTAAAAAACAAAAACAGCAGATGTATCTAGATAAAACCTTTGAATAAGATTAAGAGACAAGCAACCTTTATTTTTTTTCTGCTTAGTCTCTGTATGACTGAATCAAATCAATTGTAGTTTTTATCTTTTGTTTTGTTTTGTTTTGTTCGATTTAACCCTGAGTACAAGTAAAAGTGAATGAGCTAAATAGAAAATTTAATATTCAAAGTTTAACCACACGTATAACTAGAATGTATACAAATGAAAATCGATTGTGAAATATGTTGCAATGAACAAGTTCGGAGTGTATTGTGAAAATCGAACGTAGTCTCTTTAATTTGAATTTCAATCATTTTTCATAAAAGAATTCCTGTATGTGTAATATGTATGATCCTGCGCGGATGTGGATGCAGATTTGAACAAGAATCTTGGCTCCGAAATCTTCACACTTACAGTCTCAAGATTTTGTTTCTAATATTTTGATTGTCATTCTATTTTTGCACAATGACCTATTATAAGTAAACATGAATATGATGGTTGTTTACTCGAATCGTTCATTGTTTATTGAATACCAATATAGTACATAGTCAGCAAAAATTCAATTTCTTATTAACTGTTGATTCATTCAGTGTGTGTGATTGGGTTTTTTTTAGAAAAACCAATCTTTTTGTATTGGTTCCTGTTCTTCTTGGAAACACAAAAATGATTTACTTTGGAGGTAACAACGAAAATAAACCATGTACGCGGTGAAGACTCATGTAATGATATAAATATCATTGTGAAAGTACAATCTAATAAGAGTATACAAGAAAAAAATGATGCAATAAAAGAAAGAATTAGTTTTTTATTTTCTATTTCTTTTTGCAGTCACATGTTCAATGAACTTTGTTCTTGAGAATCAACAAAGACAAAATTTCGAATGCAGTGATTCTGGAGTCAAAAGATTAGATGGAGGCGTTTTGCTTATCGTCACCCTTACCAATGATTGTTGAGACAACATCAATAGTTTCTTCGATTAAAACGGCTATAAATTGATCAGACTCGGTTACAACTTCAATAATAAACTTCATGAATTAAATTGATTAGTAAACGACCTGAAGAGCTCAACTTCCTTCACACTTGAACTATCAACAAGTTCGACTGTTCTTGTCAATTAAGTTGATGCATTAGTCGTATAAGATCATATTTTGAAGTGTTATTACAAGAAATCACTTGCCTGAAGGAATATGTCTGATTATTAGTTTCGAAATAGATAGTAAAATGAATGAATAATTGTACAGAAACTATTCTTTAAGAGAATCTTTTGTATTGAACTAACAATTCAGATGTTTTATTCACTTTTACCAACTATTGGGTGTGGGTGTGTGGGTGTGGGTGTAGATAAAGATCTTCCCAGTACTCTGACCGACACACACTCACATCCACACCCACACCCCACCCATACCCACACCCACACCCCACACCCCACACCCACACCCACACCCACACTCACACCCACACCCACACTCACACCCACACCCACCCACACCCACACCCACACCTTTTGAATTTTTGGTTAAATTGAACAAAGGACTTCTTAGTTTCAAGGAAGTCTTAAATTGTTAAGTTATAGAATGTAATGAGTTTACGAAATCAGAAGTATCAATTGGACTGATTTAGCCTGCAGGCCAGGTCAGGCCGGAAAAAAGTGGCCTGTTGGCACCTCTGTCATGTATTGCTGATATTCTAAGTCAAATAGGGAGACATATGTGTACGTTGCTGGGATTTGAAGGTTTAAACTAAACTGTTTCTTGGATACAATAACGTATTCTGGCTTTAATTATTTTTATTTGAGATTTAAATCATAAAGTAACTCGATGACAATCATGCGGAAATGTTTATATCAATGCAAAGAACAAGAATAGTAATTATCTCTTCTAAATCAAATCGGCAATATTCAATGGTAATTCTTCAATTTTTGTATTGTAATATTGTTCAATATTTTTCAATGTTTGTTGTTCATCATTGGTAATGAAGTTAATAGCTACACCTTTTCGACCGAATGCACCACTACGTCCAATACTTAAGAAAAAGAATAAAATTCATTTTCTTTCAAACATTATTAATTCTTACCGATGAACATAGTTCTCACGATTAATTGGTAGATCATAATTGATAACAAGACTTACTTGTGCAATATCAATATTACTTCCAACTGTGTCTGTTCTTATCAAGATTCGACTAACACCTGTTAGAAATTCTTTTATGACATCATTACGTTGTTTTATATCCATATTAGAATGCTAAAATAAAAAGAAGGTCAATTTGTATGATTTTAAAAATAATCATTGTGTCACTGACCAGAGCAGACACAGTTAAATTACGTGTTCGTAGTTTTTCAGTCAACAAGTCAATTTTTCGATTTGTATTACAAAAGATGATCGTTTGTGTAATCGTTAATCCATCAAGCAAGTCATATAATGTATCTAATTTCCATTCCTAGATAAAAATAATTTTATATCAATTCATCAGCATAATATGTCTCTCTACCTCACGTTCAACATTCGCATAAAATTGACGAATACCATCGAGTGTTCGTTCTTCTCTTTTGATAAGAACTTTTATAGGATCATTCATAAATTTAGTTGTGAATTCGAGTAGATCACTAGGTATCGTAGCTGATAAAACCATCACTTGAATATTTCTTGGTAACGTCGTAAGTATATCATAAATTTGCTCGTTGTAACGACGAGATAAAAGTTCATCAGCTTCATCTAATACGAACATTTTAATATGTTCAGCACCTATCACATGAATAAGGATAAAAATATGACCCATATAAGATATAAATCACGTACAGAATGCTGATCTCTTTAACATATCATAGATTCGACCAGGTGTACCAATCACAACTTGGGCACCAGCTTGAAGAAATTTAATATCTTCATGAACATTTGTACCACCAATACAAGCATGACATGTCACATTCATATGTTCACTTAGTGTTAAAACTAGCCGATGTATCTAAATTATAAATAGAATCAAAAATTCGATGATAAATAATCAGAGAAAACTATACTCCTTGAGCTAGTTCCCATGCTGGTACTAGGATTAATGCTTGACAATCTTTGCAGTCCATGTTGAGTTGTTGTAAGACTGCAATAATGAAGTTTATCGTTTTACCTGTGCCTGATTGTGCTTGCACAATTACATCATAACCTTTAAGAAAAATGAATATTTAATGAACTAATGAGAAATAGTAGAGAACAAACCTGAAATACATGGTTTAAGAGCACGTTGCTGAGCATCTGAAGGATGTTCAATACCATAGCCATATATGCCACGTAAAAGTGGCTCTCGTAAATTCAATTGATCGAAGTTTTTAATCGTTTCTGTCAAGCGACTTAAGGTGGTTTCATCTCGTAGTAAAGATGGTTGGATTTGTGGACTGAGGTCTGTACTCGCATTTTGATGAGTGTCATTTCTTAGAAAAAAGATTAACGATTCAATGCGTGAAGTCCCTCAACAATCAATCTTCTCTTGAAGTAACTATGTAGCTCAAATTGAACACACAGAAATATTCACTTTCTGTGTTATCAACATTGATGTTAGAAATAATACATACTCAGAAGGAGATGTAGTTTCATAGTCGTTTGATTTAGTTTCTGTTTGACAATCACTCATAAATGAAATTGTATTTGAAACAAAATTGATCTATAAAGAATCAAGAGTCAAAAATCAATTGCGGATCAACAATTTTTTGAAAAAGAAAATGTAGACTAAATAAAACGAATGTATATAAATGATTGTCATTTCGAAATTTCTCAACTCGTATAGATGAGTCAGGAATTATGAAAGTCCTTGAGAAATAAAACAGCCAATCATTTCAACGATCACAGATGAAAAACAATGGAGTCGTTACAGAATAAACCTACAACATTTTTAAACTTTGATAATCGTTGCAAGAAAAATAAAACCTCTTATTTAGTTTATCTGTTGCCGTTGAGCGCTACAATCTATTACAATTGAAAATCGCGTAGTGTGCTCGTGATCTTTCGTTGCCTCTCTGTTCTCGTTAATTCCAGAGCTTTTTACTATGGCAGATACTGATAATCGTCTTTGTGATCAATCATATATGAATGGTATGATTCGCCAGATGTACTTGTCTACATGGTGTTGTAAAGCTGGGAAAGTTACATCTCATGGTATATAAATCAAATCGCTTCTTATTCAATTTCAGGGGTCTTTCCTATATGAAATGTCGAGAAGTTATTATCGAATATTCAAGCGCAACAAAATTATTCAATCATATGGACATTGTCCTTTGTTAATCGTTATCAGAATATGATAACAATTATTCTCTTACTCAATTGTGTAAATCTCTTTTTGCTCTACAATTTGAGTTATTTCATTATCTCGTTCTAAAGGAGAAAAAAAACGCTAAAAATCAAGAACTTCAATTTTGTTAGTATTTTTATGATCGTTCGTTATTCTTGAAGATCTACTATCAATGTAATTTTTTTCTCAGATATTGTATCTAGTCATAATCGACGATTAGCCATATTTTAAAAATTGAATGGGCCGAAGAGAAACATAGTGAATACTGTACGGACCTCACAGATTTTTCATAGCTTTCAAAGACTGTTTTCTCAGTTTTTTTTAAGAATGATTTTACCAAAGTTTTGCTGAAAATTTTGTAGGAGTTAGAAATCAATAAGAACGCGATATGCTAAAGTTTTCTTCTTATGGAAAGAACTTCTCTTCACAACTGATTATTTGTAATAAGTCTGCAACAATAAATTAGGATTCTCATTTTTTTTGCGTTTTTCAGCAAGGTAACGTAAATTCACTTTTTTTTTGTAGATGCTTAGTTTTGAAGAATCAATAGACATTTTCATGTTGAGAAGGATATTCTATCTTTAATCAAGTCAAGTCTACAGCCTATGAAAAGAATCTCTTTAGTTTTTCGTTTTCGATTTTAAAGGTTTTCTATCATGCTAGTCATTGACCTGAACCATTTTCCAAATCGATGTTCAGAACTCAACCGTAAAGTTGAAAATCTTTCGAATGTAAAAAGATAAAACATTGATGATGTTATAGAGAAAAACAAAGACTATCGTTTGTTTTAGACCACTGGTATTGAACAAAATTCCCATAGTGTTATCTTGTGTCGGGCAAAAAAAAATCATCACCTGTTTCTGATTTCGTTGACCATTATCAAACAAGCAAAATTATATTTTTTGTAAGTATGTAATTATAATTTTTCTTTCGATTATGATCGATGAAGAATTGATATCATCACAAGAGAAATCAAAAATTCAATTGAACCTTTCACCCGGTGAATATGAATGTTGTTTACTTGTTTTAATAAAAGACAAAGATCAAGAGGTTTATCAGTCAAACATTGAACAAGAGGATATTCCTATTCCAAACATAAGTATACAAACGATAAACCAAGTGTCCATTTGTATCATCCGGTCTTTAGATCGTTGGATACTAACAGAAGCGTCTGTAACTATCTATGAAATTCAATATAGATAGTCAAAAGTTTCCCGACAAGATCAAAAGTAATTAATTAAACTGTTTTTAGCATTTTCAATTGAACGTTTAACGCATTCTCGATCAATATGAATACATGACAATGACTTTTAAAAAAATAACATTAGAGTGCATTCTATTCGGATTGATTCTTTTTTCTTCGAAGAGTTTATGCTCAGAATTAATTATTTTACACCTACATCTAATGAAATAAAAATCAAGCATATATTGGATTACAAATGACAGTTAAATTTCTGCTTATAAAAAGAATTTCTTAAAAGTAATGTTTAAAATAAATTTTAGGCTAATAGATTCTATTGATCAATCATTAATTAAAGGTTTTCGTATGATTTTAATAGGTACAATAAATGATATACAAGTAGCAATCATTTGCCATTCAGATTTTGCTGAAGAAAAATTACTTAGCTTAGTACGTATGATATGTCGATCATCACTACAATCACTTACAATTCAAACTGAAAAATCACTTTTAATTGGTATTAAACGGAGAATTGATACCAATATTCAAGATGCAAGAATATCCTTAAAAATATTTCTCAATGGTAAATTCCATTCTCAAATCGTTACGAATAAAAGTCATTCATTTAAATAAGAACTTGCTAAATTAGGAACTGATCAAATACTTAGGGCGTACCAAAAGTTCGAATCACGACGTTTAAAATTTTAAAAAATAGTAAATATTGAATGTTTTATTATGGAAATATATAGTATAACGCCTGATCTTTAATAATCTATAGAGCAGCTCTATCTTGGATTTAGTTCTAACATCCTGCTAGACTAAGCTTATAATTTAGCGTCTATAATAATATTTAACTAATCCTTGTCCAATGTTCAGGTATATTCTGGAACTTTCCATATTTTTCATTGATCACTCTCTCTCGTCACAAAATGTGACGTCATGTTCTAAGAACATTACATTTCGATAGTATATATAGATGAGAGATCATTCACTATCAGCTCACTTGTACTGCACTCTACTTCAAATCGTGATAGAATCTGATTTCAACTTTAAAACAACCTATTAAATATGACTGATGAATTTAATCGATACTATATCAGAATTCAAGCTATTCTGGGAATAGATTCAAAAACAATCTTTGACGAACTTACAGAAGCATTGGGACCTGATGCTCCATCATATTCAAATGTCAGAAAATGGGCGAAACGTTTTCGTGAAGGAGGAGAAGATGTCAACGATGATCCTCGATCTGATCGTCCGATTTTGGTACTTACAGACGAAAACATTGAGCGCGTTCGACAAGTTATCGAAGATGACCGACACTCAACTTATGATGATATTACGGTTGAGACTGGTCTATCTCGTGGTACAATAGAACGAATTATTCATGATTGCCTAAAAATGAGAAAAGTTACATCACGTTGGGTTGCTCATCAACTCACTGAGGAACAAAAACAAGAACGGCTTGGAATTTGTTGTCAAAATTTGGAGAAATTCAGAAATGGAACATGGCGGTTATGTGATATTATTACTGGTGATGAGACATGGATTTATTACAGACAGATTGACCGAAAGTCAAGCAATTCTACCTGGGTTGGTGAAGATGAACCACCAAGGACCATTGTTCGTCGGAATATATCTGAACCTAGAAGACTCTTTTGTTTATTCTTTAAATCCACTGGTCCTGTTCGTATACATAAAGTAGATAAAGGCAAGACCATCGATCACAACTACTATATTGAAAATTGTCTCATACCTATTATCAATGAAATAAGGAAAAAAGAAAAATCATCACGCACAAATTATAAACTGCTTCATGATAATGGTCGTCCTCAAACTCATCGAGATGTTGTTAATTATTTAACAGAGGAAGGTATCGAAATAATGCCACATCCACCACATTCACCAGATCTTGCACCGTGTGACTTTTGGCTAAATGATTATATCAAGAGAAATTTGGGTGATCACACAAACGAAGAATCACTAGCTCAGGAGGTTTCCACCATAGTGAAGAATATTCCAGTACACGAATTTAAAAAGACTTTCGATAAACTGTTAGAAAGGATGGAACCATGTATAGAAAATAATGGTGATTATTTTGAGCATTTAATAAAATAAAACTACGAGGGTGTGGGTGGGTGTGGGTGGGGTGTGGGTGTGGGTGTGTGTGGGGGGTGTGGGTGAGTGTGGGTGTGGGTGTGGGTGGGTGTGGGTGTAAGTGTGGATGTGTGGGTATGAATATGGGTGTGAGTATTGTTCATCTACACACCAACCCTCGCACCCGCACCCACACCCAGATAAATCTGTAGTATCATGAAGAAAATTGGCGTTGTGAAAACATGAGTAAGAAAAGAAAGCAGGTGGTTAATGATTGTCTATAATAGTTGTTGAAAAGGATGAAAGGTTTATTAGATTCAATTAAAAATAATGTTTTGCACTGCAACGACAATACCTCAT